GTGGCATGTCTTCATACAGAATTGAAACGAAAGTTTCTGGTCAAATCATTTTTTGATGATGAAAAAAATTACATTTTTGAAACATCTAATACAACATACTTTCCAATTGAGGTTTCATTAAAAAAAACAAATTGTTGAAAAGATAAAATTTTTAATATTATAAAATAAATATGTTTTTCCGTTAATCAGCATCACAATAATTGCTGAATAGCTCATTATTTACCCATACAATTAATTATTTTAACATTTGTTTGCAAGAGCGTCGCCAACGGGAGGCAGGGAGGGCAGTTGCCTCCCCTAGAGATCAAATGTAGCTAGCCGCAAAGCGAGCAAAGTGCGAGCAATTGACTTCCTTACTTATTAATAAATTCCGCATCGCATGACAAACGTAAATAAATTCACAAGGTTTGATGTATATTGTAGAAAGTATTGAAATATTCAGAATAACATTAAGATTTTGACATCCGTTTTTAAAATCGCCGCCATTATCATCACGACTATATCAGATTTGCCATTAAACAGTGTAAACATATGTAGGTAGGAGGTTGGTATGGTGTGTGTGTGTGTGTGTTGTGTGCATTGCATTTCTTTCTACGACAGCCGTTCACCAGCATTCACGTTAGTTTTGTATAATTTGTATGCGGCATACCTAAAGTAGAAGTTATTGTTACGAACATACAATTTCAATTGGTTTTGTGGACAATGCCATCTGTAAGTGGAAGTGTTCATAAGAAACACCTATAGCCTACAGTTGAATAAGTCGACTACAATCCTTGTAAAACCTAGTATTGCTACTCGACGCTAGATGGCGCTTGTTCAACAATGAACTCTATGGAATTTGGTAGAAGTTTCTGGACCGGGTAGAATGTTACTGTACATTCTAGTATGATGTTCGTTTGGGTATATGAAGACGTGAGCCGCTGTGAGCGGCTAAATTAAATCCTAAATTGAATCCGGATAACCTGAATCTCAGACTTTTAGGAGAAGACCTCATACTCCAGGATTCGGTGTCCTACTTGGGGGTCACCTTCACGAGGACCCTCAACTGGGAGTTGGACCTGAGAGAGACACTGGACAGAGTCCGGAAGAGAGCCAACCTGCTAAAAGCTCTGAGAGGCAAGCTCGGGAGATGCGACTGTAAAACTCTCCTTCACACTTATAAAACTTTCATAAGACCAGTCCTAGACTACAAAGAGATGTACGCTTCCCCCGAGACCATTCCACCGTATCCTTACAACCGAGAGGAGAATCCTTCGTAATATACACAACCTTCCTTACCGATACCCATCTATAAACCTATATAATCTTATCGATACTACACCAATCAACCAACGATTTCGGGAACTTCAAGAACGATATGCTACCAGAACGATGATCAGCGAGAACACCCATGCCATCAACTCGCTTACAACGACTTGGAATCCTCGTGGAGGATCCAGAAGGATACCCAGGAAAAAGCTCCCCTTTCCCCCAGCCAGACACCTGGGAGCAATGGAAGACCCGCCGGAGCCGATCCAGGATATCTTAGAGGAATTTCCACTGGGAATCAGATAGCGGACACCAGCGTCCTAAAAAAAACCGAAATCAAAAGTCCTTCACCCCCAACAGCCCCGACCTAACAACCCGTACCTGAACACCTCAAACACCATGACCAGTGCAACGGACCCGGACTACCCTACGGAACAACGGAATAAACCAAAAAAACAAGCGGAACACAAAACAACACAACACTAGATATCGATACACAAAAAACACAACAATAGACACCAACACACAAATCAACACACACACATACAACCCACTAACCCTGAAGAGGCATAAGCCTATAGCAGGGCCCCACAAAAACACACCTACACAAATATAATGTTATTATTATTTAAAACTTGAATAAACGTTTTTGAATTTAATTGAATTGTGAGTAAGTCACTTTTTAATTGGAAGCGATCAACGAAACAAGCAAAACAAGCGAACTGGAATGCGATTATAAAACTACCGGTTTCCCTGTGTTAGTCAATATTGATTTATATTTATTAAATAATATAAGATTTCATCATCTCAGTGTTGAATTGTGAAGTTTCTGAGTGTGTCTCCTTTCATCATCTTATCAAAATGGACATCAGAAAGTTTTTTGGTAAGTTATGTACTACTTTAATCTTGGACTTATTGCTAGTATTTTTATTTTATTTCTCTTAGTCAACAGCTTTGGTAAAGGATATACTACCTAGAAACGTATAACAATCGTTAAGAATATCATTTTTAATGATGTGGAAAGAAAGGATCGATTATGTGGAAGGGAAATGTTAAGAAAAACTAGTATTTTATTATAAACGAGTTTATTGATTCAATCTCTATGAATTTAACGTTAACTCAACAGTGGTTTCGTTTCAGTTATTAATTATGAAAACAAAACATAAATTATATTTGTGGTTTAATTAAACAGAAATTAAAACAGATCCTTCATATAGATTAGGCTAAAAAAACTTCCTGAGATAATAATTATAGGTAATTGAACAAAACTGCTCTCCCGTAAAAATTTAATTGATTACATAAAGTTTTATCAAAGCAATTTGTTTTGCAGGAAGTTTGGAACGAAAAAAAAAAACTGATTGATCAAGTAGCAACAGCGATGAACAGAACAAAGACTGCAATGAAAATGATATCGGGCGATATGTTGGATGGGCACACATGTTATCAACCGAAAAGAAGAAGTAATTGATTGAAACATGTTGGTCCCCTCCGCGACCTTTAACTTCGCGGAAGAAACATTTAAAGATACAATTTAATTATTCTTGGTTGGAAACATACTCTCCATGGTTGGTATATTCCAGGCGCTAAAAAGAAGCATATTGTAAATATTGTACGTTGTTCCTATCAAATCCAAATTCATTTAGATGCATATTGAGATCATTTACTATGAGGCCCTTTTGTAAGTTCAAAGATATTCACGAGCAGGACAAAAAGCACATTGAAACCTACTTCCATAAGGAGGTATTGAAAGCTGCTAAATCTTTTCTCAAAGGTGTGCCTGTCGATTTGCAACTGAACAAATATTCCCAGGAAATTATTGCATTACGTTTTGCGGGTCATGCGACTTAGCACTGAAAGTATCCTCTAGGATTTATACAGGCTGCGGATTGATGCAGGAGATTTGATTTTAAAGAAACACATTGAGCAAGGGAAAAAGAACGCAAGCTACCGTACAGTGGATATTCAAAATGAAATTATTGGTATTTGTGGAAGCGTTATTAAGGCTGATATTATGAAGAAAGTGAAAGAAGCAGTAGTATATAGTGTGCTAGCAGACGAAACAGCTGATATTTCTGGCACTGAACAAGTATCGATTGGGATGCGATATTTTGATGAAGAAACACAGGAAGTCCAAGAAATGTTTGTCGGATTCATTGAGCTAAAAGATTTTAATGCGAAATCGATTGCACATAGCATAGATGAGTTTTTGACAAAAGAAGATCTGAATATAAATAAATGCGTTGGTTTTGGTTTTCATGGTTGTTCAAGAAAAGACGGAGGGGTACAAGCGATCTTATGCAAAAAGTACACCAAAGCCCTTTACTTTCATTGCTCGTCCCACAAACTGAATCTAGTTACCAATGATCTGAATTCACTTCCTGAAATTAGAAATGTTATGGGCACCACTAAAGATACTATAAAATTTTTTCAGGAATTAGTTTTGGGGAGGAAGTTGATACCTAATATTTCCAGACTTTGCGAGGCAAGATGGAGTGAGAAACACAAAACAATCAGAGTTTTTAAAGGAAATCTCCTAATAATTCTGGAAGGCTTACAAACATTATCTCAGGAAGGAAATAGTAGTGCAACTCGGAAAAGTGCCTTTTAAATGCATGCGGCTACTTCCAGAATTTCTTTCATTCTCGGGATTATGTTGGTACCCAAATACTCGTCTTTGATGGAACCCGTTGTCAACGTACTCCAATCTGTAGCTTTGGACGTGGTCAAAGCCTTGGAACACGTTAAAAGGATTTTACTTTTGATTAAAAACCACCATGAAAATCCGGAAAAAGTGACAGACGAAATTGTAAAGGAAGCTACTGCTGTTGCGGAGAAAGTCGGACTGGAGGAGGAATCACATCAATGCCGCGTATTGCGGGGAAACAACGTCATAGAAGCAATCATCCAGCAGAAAGCCCTTCAGAATACTGGAAGTGGTCTTTAGTAATACCATACTTGGATTCAATCATCACCTCCTCAGTACCTTTTGCTGAAGAAAATACGCCATCATTCGCATTATCTAAGTTACACCCGGCGCAGATGCAAAATATGTCAACTGAAAATCTGAAACAAACTTGTGAATCTATTGCCCAGTTTTATGATTTACCGAACATAAAGAACGAAATCGAACTTTGGCAGCAATTGTGGCGCGATAGGTTTAATCTAACAAATCTTACAGTTGTTGATGTCCTAAAAGAAACAAATTCCTACTTTCCCATAACGGAAAAAGCATTGAAAATGTTGATCGCTTTACCATGCACGAACTGTACAGTAGAGCGATCCTTTAGCAGTCTCAGAAGACTGAAAACATGGCTAAGAAGCACCATGGCAGAAGATCGCCGTAATGGTCTGGCCATGATGAGTCTACACAGAGCTATAATAAATAAAAACCTAATAATTTCGATGATAAATTGGTTGAAAGTTTTGCAAAAAATCCCCGCAGGTTATGTTTTAATTAAATATTATTTTTGTTAAAATGAATAATTATTACTGTGTTTAAAAGTTTCATTTAGTTATTGTGCTGTCGAGTACTTGTGAAGTTTTACACATTGATATCAGAACCGTTCTTATTACAATCGTCATCGAGGCAAATACTTCCAAAATGTAACGCTTCATGCTTTCGACTGTACCAGGCGTTCATATTTTTTATCCTCGATAATATTTCCCCATTGCCCCCCCCCCTTAGTCATAAACTGGCGACGCCCTTGTTTTTATGTGAATTTGTTATTTTGGACAATCCGCTGTGTTTTATCTTTAGTTAGCCTAATGTTTTCATAGAATTAATAAATGAAGGATTCCAAACTGAATTTCAACTAAAGAATGACGACTGTGACATATTAAATCAATTTCGAGTTGTTGGTAAAAATAGATACGGAAGAAATTCATTTCCATGATGTTAATCATTCATTATTTGTGCTCTTTCTGGGATTAATTGTGGTAAGTTGCTTCTGTTGTAAACTTTCAAATCAACTTCAATATTCAACAAAATTGATCTGATAAGGATGACAGAGTTGTCAATTATCTGTAGATGTATTTATTGTCTGACTTCATGAGAAATGCCATTTATGTCAAAGTGACCCAATGTATACATTGTGTTGTCATAGATATTTCCATAGTTTCAGTTGCTACACCACTATTAGCATAGCTTTGTTACAATTACGTGAGAATGGGAGAATTGCAAGTAATATTTCTAAAGATATGCAACTTTTTTGCAATTATGCCCTGGTACAATATTCAGAAAGAAATGTTCATTAGACCAATCGTTTACAAATATTACAGTTTCGGAATGATGTTGTTCATGTTTCTTACATGTAGTATTTATGAAATAATGCTTCCTTTCTTTCCAATTTCCTTATTTTTTATGATAGCGCTTGGAACAGTAGTATTTTGCGACTTTTTTTTGGCAGCGATTCTGGTTTACTATTCTCTGACGAAGGTGGAAGATTGGAAATGTTTATTTGTCACAAGGCGCTATATGAATACGAGTATATCCTTGAAGTATTACGTGGATAGCTCCTGGAATTGGTTTTTTTGGATTTTCTATATTTTATCTTTCGGTTTCGTAGTACACCAGTGCACTGGGGTGTTTCTCGATATCAGATACTTTCCTATTCTTATGGTTATGATACCACGATTGATGTATAATTACGGGTATATGATGTCTGTGATGATTTCTTCCAGCATAACCTATAGTCTCAAATCCACAAACGACATACTGATGAAGATGGTAACTACTAGGGAACCTTCCTCAAATGAACAAAAATTTATAGATGATCTGAAGGAAATGATGATTCTGTATCAAGATATCCGAAAAAAAGTGAACAGTTTTAACGACGTATTCGGAATTTTTTTTCTGGTTTCGATGGGTCATCAGTTGCCGACAATTTTTTCTGCAGTGAAGCATTTATCTCATATTCTATATAATGAATTTGATGCATCGGGACTAGCTTATACAATACAGACTATCGTCATTCAGAATGTGAGTATATTACTTTTTATATTTGAATGGCATTTTGCGTTGCATGAAAGATTCGCAGATTTTCTGAAAATATTGAGATAGTTATTAACGTTACAAGGCCGATATGTAGCAAATAACAGATGAGGTTGAATATTGTAACAACCGAATCAGTTATTGCGTATCGGCCGTGTGTCGTTTAAGACTTTTTGTAATCCCGCTGAAAGAATCGGAATTTTCAGATTCATTAAATTATTTTTGTTCTTGATACGATAGTCTGATGAATACACACCGAAGAAGTAGTGGGGTAAGCTTGCATAAGTCGTACCCCCTAAGGAAATATTACTGTAACAATAAGTGCAATTGAAATGAAACAAAATCTACTGCAAATACCGAATCTTCATTTAGTTACCTCTCAACTAAGAATCATAAAAACATAAACTTACTTTATCAAAACAGGTAATTTGCCGCTTTTCAAAAATGTGCCATCGGTACGATTAAGGCGCCTAGTCGTCTAACTTGTACCTCCTACAGTCTTACTGGTATTTGGAAAGTATTTTTTGTCAACATACAATAAACAAGAATAACTAAAAATTACAAGCAATCAGGCTAAGATTAACTTTTTTAGTTTGAAGGTAGTTGACAATGTTTCGTGGTGCATTTCATTAGTTCGGACTTCCATTGTCTAATATGAAGTAAGTCCTTCCATCACTTTCACGATGGAGAAGGAAGTCAACAATGAATTGCCATTCTTAGACGTATCAGTGAAGATGACCGACACGAAATGGGAAACATCTGTGTATCGAAAAATTATTCACACAGAATAGTATCTGAACCAGGAATCCAACCACCACACCATCAAGACTCTACTAGACCGTACTTTCGGGCTCTGTAATAAAAGGAAAGGTCTCGAAAAGAAACTAGGCATCACCAAAAATGACCTTCAACGAAATGGTTACTCCAAAGTGATGGTGGAACAGACTTTAGCTAGCAGCAAGAGCTCCACAAGGAATATAAGCTGCTACAACCAGTATTTGTACTTCCCTACATCAGAGGATTGTCGGAAAGGATAAGAAGGATTGATTTCAAGTATAACATCAAAACCGGCTTCAGATCTGGAAATACTATCCGTAGCAGCCCCAGCGGACAATCATACATCGGAGAAACTAAGAGGCCATTGACAGTTCGCATTGACAGTTCGCAGAGGAATAAGTCCAGTTATCATCCGAAGACGATTATGGATACTAACAATCGAAACGTCGTGAATTAACTTGGTTTGGAATCTTTAATTTTCAATTTTCATTTCTTGTTAAAAAAAATTTTATTTTCATCTCGTGTTAATAGTTCATTTTTTAAAATTTTTTGGTTGTTGCTTGTATTTTATTTCATTGTAATTATAGTTTTTATGCTTGATATAATGTTATTTTTCAGCTAATCTTTTTTAAGTTTTTACAGATTTTTTCAGGTATTCCAAATCAATTTATTTCATATCAGACAATGGAAGGCCGAACTAATGAAATGTAACTTTTTTGGTTAATAATGGCTTACAAAGTTGAAGCTAAATTACTAACTAAAAAAACTCAGAAAATCAAATTACATTATAATCTTTGAACACAGATGATTATTACATAAACTTGGAATATTAAATTATAATCTCTTGAAAATAGTAGTTAATACTTAAAAAATTATTATGATTGAAAACATATATCACAAACATATTTCTTTATTTTGTTTTCAACGCCGGCACATAGGTTATCTATCCAACCTGTACATTTTATACATTGAATCATGTTTTCTACATAATCTTCCTCACATATTTTACATAGTGTAACGAATCAAAGAATTAACTGTCTTGAACAAATTCATTTTTAACAATACTTCACTATCACAACTAATTTATATACACCACTTAGCAACTAACGCTTAATTTATCTTCACTGTTTGTTAACCGCTCGATTCGCTTTCTAGATACAGACTCACTGACTGACTGACTGCCGCTCGGGACGGAAAGTGGCCTTTTTATATCGTCCACGATCGCTCCAGATCTCTCTAGTCGTTTCGACACTCATCTATACCTTTCGAGGTGGTTCGCGATGAGTCATGTGTTTGCTGGCTGAGATATCGGTCAGGGCCGGCTTCAAATTCATTACAATAGCGATGATTCTTTAGCTTATTTATTTTTTGGTTCTTGCTTGATTTATCTGTATTCCATCTTTTTATAGACTTTTGTTCTTTTTCAGTTTCAACTTTTTTTAAATCTAGAATAGGCATCTTCCTTTTATTGATATTTTTCTTGATTTATATTTCATTTTTGTAGGGACTTGAAGTTAATTTCATTGTTGGTTTTATACCTCTTTTCATTTTTTTAATTACTGTGTTTATGCAAGGCATATTCAAATGAGATTTTATTTGTTGATCATTAGTGACTCAATGAATTGTTGATATATTGGCATCGTGTAATACTAGTGAAGGTCCAGGTTGAATGAGGGGAGGTGTGGAATCTCTTGGTGATAAAGGTGCCATTGTAATCTTTGGTGCTGATGGATGTGTAATGATTGGTGGAGATACAACTGTTACAGGCAGCGATGAAACTATTGGTGGTATTAATTTCGATGGTGATGTTTGTCTAGCGGGTGATTCCATATTTTGTTCAGTTGGATCACGAAGTTCTTGATTTGATGGATCAGAGATGTATGTAGATGCTACAAAATCCTGTACTTTAAGGACGCTTCTATCACACGACCACAACCCTGTTGCTTTGAAACTATTAAGCGCTATATCCATGCGAACCGATCTGGGATATGCTTTTTCAAGCAGTTCTGCAACGTTAGCTTGTTTAATGAAGTCACCAGGATTTGAGCGTGGACACGAAGATACAGATTTATTGTAACAACTTTTCAATGATTTGAAGAACGATCTGACCAATGGTTGCACACGATATGTCGTGCGAACAGGAAAAGATAGCATCACTGTGCCATAATTCCGAGCCATCTGGATAGCTTCTGAATTTTTGGTATGTGTGCTATAACCGTCTAGTAAAAGAAAAATTTGTTTTTGATCAGTTTTTTGTAATCGTGCGCATTTAATAAAACCTTCGAGCCATAGAACAAAAAGTTCTTATGTTATCCATCCATTTTTCGAGCAACCAAATTCTGTATTTGGTGGAGATCCTTTTTTAAGGCATCATTCAGTCTGCTGCGCTTATATAATAACATGGGTGGTATAAATTCAACCGCTGCATTCATCGCGCATATGCCTGTTGAAGTCAACCCACTTTCTCCACTTGTGATTGCACCCACTTGATGTTTACCATTTTGAGCAATAACTTTGGAAGATTTGTGAAAGGTGGATAATGCAGTTTCTTCCATATTATATATTTGGTGTGCATCGAACTTCATACTTATTAAAAAACTCATTAACACGCTCTTTATTAAAGCCTCTGCCTCTGGCCATCGAGGTTGGTTCTGGAACCTGTAAGGACAAAGTAGGATGCTCTTTCATAAATCTTTAATACCACTTTGTGCCTGTTATTTTCTTCAACTTATTGAAACGATGAGGTAATTGAAATTTTTCCGCAACTTCGAAAGCAAGTTTTCTGAATTCAGTGGTAGTAGTAAAACTAAATTCATTAAATCTTGTGCTAATATCTCTTCCATCTCTGGTGAAATATCATTAGGCCTTCCAAATTTTGTTCTTTTATTCAAACCTTTCAAGTGTCGTCGCAGTGTAGGCTTTGGTATATTAAATCTTCTATATGCCTCATTAAATCCAATTTCTCCATTGCGATGTTTCTCTAAAGATTCATCCCTGTCCTCCTGTTTCCACATATTGTATTTTCTCTTCGCCATGCCGGTAAAAAATAAAATAAATTATAAAACGATTTTCTTAATACCTAAGTCGTACCGGTACGACTAAAGAATTGAGCATAGGTACGACCTAAGCTGCGGGGTCTTATGAATTAAAAACTATAATCATGCCGTAACCTAAAAATGTACGATCGTTTGAGAATGCCTAAACGATTACCAAATAAATGTTGAGAAAAGCTTCAATTAAAAAAAAGAGGTAAGATTCACATTCCTGCGATAATACGCTTACAAATGAGTTATGGGAAATATATGAGAACTGTATAAAAAACTTACCTACTTTTTGATTATTTCTGCTTCAGACAGGCGGTCGGCCGTCCGCTTGTTTACGTTTGCTCGGTCGATAAATATTTTCCATTGAAAACACTAGCTATTTATAAATATCAGATGAAATATAGCCTGGGTACGACTTGAGCAACCTTACCCTAACTAAAATTTTGTTGAAGGCAGATAATCATACATGGTTGCTCCTAACGGCCGCCGGCCGTTAGAAAATCTTAACGAACGGAGGCTGTTAACAATAACTATTCAATTGTCAACTGAATACCGTTAAATCAAAATAACAGTATGGGATTACGAAAATGTAATTATTGGTAATGTGTTCGATTACTTTACATTCTTGTTAGATATCTACAAAAGAAAATGCAATCAAATATTCTGTGACTGAAATTCAATCACAATGAAATGTATGCTATTTTTTTAGTGATAGCAAGTCGGTTGATCGAATATATCTTTACGATATTTGTTTCCTCACAGAAAAATATTCTTGCTAAGAATTCACGTACATAGATTTAATCTCCAGCAAATGAAAAAGCAAATGAGCTACTGGAATCAATGAAGTCGCCCCGGAGATCCAATTAATTTTTGTTGTTGTTTTATAAATTCATGATTTGTATTTTGGAAGTGTTATTACATCTCCAGTTGTATATTCTGATTATTATATGTACAACCTTCAAGCTATTTCTTTCGAAATACGTGTTTCACACACGTATTATTAATATTCAAAGTTCGCACTATTCATTGTCAGCCAAAAAGTATATAGATTTAGTTTCGTCGTTGCTTACTAACTAAATGAAACTGAAAATTTCCGGAATTTTTTGGAGTTTATTTGTTACCATTAGACAGTCTTGTTTATACTTAACCTTCTTCAATATCTTGTGT